CTAAGACACAACTTTTCTAGCTAACCGTTAGCTAGAAATGAGGTTCAATTTCTACTCGGGTTAATTCATTTTTTTTTAAAGTAACGATTATCTTTAACTGATAATATTTTCTTGATAATAATGTTAAATATACTTATTACAAATTTGAGAAAAATTAGTTATTATTATCTACTCAAAACACAAATTTATTTTTCTTTATAGAATATTATAAAATTTATCGAATAAGCGACTTTAAATAATAAGCAAATTGAATTTTTAATTTAATAATCTTGATTGTGGAGAGTATTAGATTTATTAGGATTCAGAATATACACATTTTGAATAAATTTGATACTTGTAATGGACTAATGATAGATTGGCGGATATATAAATTTTTTAAATACTTAAAACAAATATTTATTATTAAAGTATATTTTTCTATGTGCATGCTTTGTAAAATTGTGCGATTAAAAGTTATGCTTGTACATAGTATACAATAAAATATATTTCAAGATATTGTTCAATTAACACATTCAGTAAACACATAATGTAACATTATCTTCTGTTTCTAGAATCATCATTCGATAATGAGGCACAAGAATCTTCATCAGATGAATCTGTAAACCAAAAAAATAGAAGATCACGAAGTTCTTTCAACCAACAGATTACTGATATAAGTTCTCAAGGTTTAATTAATGCAATATATTAATGATACACACATAAGCGCGTGCATGCATGTTTGTGTGTGTTCTTCTCAATTTATTTTTATAATATTTGAGTAAAAAATATATTAAAATATTTAATTTTAGGAGAACTCGCAATTGCGTCACAACAACGAACACAATCAACATTAAAACCTCTTTGTAGTACTGCAACGTCTTCAAATGTTCATATAAAATGTTAAAAATTATTCTCTTGATTTGTATTATTTTAACAGTAAACGTTTAAATAGTTTTGTAAAAATTTTATGCTTCTAATTTTACTTATTTTTAATTTCTAGACTTAAAGAGCATATTATCATGTGTACAAGGAATGAAGCATGATCAAGAAATCCTAAAAAATGATTTACGGTTGCTGAAAGAACAATTCGACTACTTTTTAATGAATAAAATGGATCCAAATGAGACTGTCTCTACACATTGGATTAAAGCAAATAATATTCACTGGCCTCTTAAAACAAAGGAAGATTATGACAATCTAAATAAATTATTATGCAACGAAAACATTCGCATTGATTTTGTATGTCATTTAAATTGTCAATTAAACGAAACATAATTATATAACATTTCTATAAGTTAATAAAGTTTTTATGTAACTCGTATTTAAAAAAAATTGTTTCAGGTTTCAACAATAGGATTTATTATAAATACGAGAACCGCATTATCTAAAAATTTACTTTTCGTGATTCGCAAATTTATACACAAAGATCTTGCAACAAAATTTACATGTGTGAAAAATGTCAAGAATAAATTTACAATGAAGCCGTCATTATTTTATGACTGCATAGTCGGTTAGTTATATATCAAATATATTAATGTAACATACATTTTGTGAATATTAATACTTATAGTTTTTATAATTTTAGAGGCGTTCTTTGCAAAACGCCGTGATATACAAGAACCTTTTTCAGAAAAAATATTGGAAAAATTAATAGGTGCGATACTAACGAACTCTAAAGATTGGGGAACGAAAAGACGATTTGAAAAGACGATTGTGACATTAGATGCTGTAACAGAAGAAAAGGAGATCGAAGAAGATAAAGAAAATGTAGACAATCAATAATTTAAAAGAAAGACGCGTGATATTTTCAGTAAATTATATTTCAAATAATTATATTTCAATATTAAACACAACAACGAGCCAATGAGAGTATAATCGCGGTAATTCTTGCGAAAGATATATTTGTTACATATTAATAAAAATCATTTTACAAAC